AGCTGGGCTTCTCAAGGCTTTACCAGAAATTGCCACGGAGTGAGAATGCTTAGCAGAGCTCAGCATGGTTTAGCAGGGCTTGGTAATGCTTTACCAAGCTTACCCGAACTTAACACGGCTGACCAAGCCCACCTGAATTTACCCAGGCCCACCACGCGTCAGAAGGATCCGCAGAAGCAAAAGGGCTTAGCAGGGTTTACCAAAGCGTACCAGGGCTCAGCAGAGCTTGTCAGATCTGAGCAGTGCTTAGCGAGCTCTGCAGGGCTCAGCACGGCTTACATGGCCTTCGTTTGGCTTACCAAGGCTTCGGAAGGCACACCAGGCCTTAACAGGGGTTAGCATGGCTTCGCAAAAGGCTAAACAAGGCTTGGGGCTTCGCAAGGATTGGCAGGACTTATCACACCTTACCACGGCCGAGCAAGGTCGGCACGGCCTTGCAAGGATTCTGCTGCCAATCTAAACTCAGCAAGGCTTGCCCAGCTTAGCAGGGCCCAGCAAATCTTACAAGGGCATGGCGAAGCTTACCAGGGCTCGTCAGGGCCTGGCGGGGCGCGCCACGACTTACCAGGGCTTAGCAGGGCTCGCCAGGGCCGAACAATGCTTTGCAGGCCCACTGGGGCTTATCAAAATGTACATGACCTTAGCAGCGTTTACCAAGGTCTCTAGCAAGGCTTGCCGAGCCCTTGCATGGCCGAGCGGGGCGCAGCAACGCGCAGCAAGGCGTAAAGCTCCGCATGGATTAGCAAGTCTGAGCAAATCTTGCCAAGGCCGAGAAAGGCACAACAAGGCTTCACGCAGCCCACCAGGCTTGCCAAGTTTAGCTGGGCTTCGCAAGGTTTGGCAACGCTACCAGGGCACAGCAAAGCTAACCGGGGTTCAGCAGGGCGCCCCAGGAGCCTACTTGGCCCTGCGGGGCTTGCCAGGGCTTAGCAGTGCCTAGCAGGGATCAATTGAATTAGGCAGGGCTTACCGCGCGACAGCAAGGCTTACAACGTCTTAGCAGGGCTCAGCAGAGCTCAGCGAAGCTCAGCGGGGCTTCAAGTTTCGTAAACCTTGCGGAGATTGATGCAGGCTTGACATCGTGGTCCATCATGGGTCGCGCGATTTTGTACTGCACAATCCAACATAACGCCAACCGTTGTACACGACCTTCTGGAGTTGCCGCTCGCGAGAGAAGGGTGGTGTACCAGGACTGACCTGGTCCAGCAGGGCGCGCCAGGACTTTGCAGTGCTTGCCACGGCTCAGCTGGGCTTACATCGTCTTAGCTGGACTGAGCAGGGCTTAGAGAAGCTCAGCAGGGCTTCAGCCTTTGCGAGGCACCGCAGGACTTCGCAAAATATGCCGATGCTGAGCAAGACGCAGCAAGGCGCAGCACGGCATACCAAGCCCAGGTGGGCTTAGCAAGGCTTGCCATTCTTCGCCGCGCGTAACACTGCCTACCAGGGCACAGCAGGGCGCACCATGACTTAGCGGGGCTTAGCAACGCTTTCCATGGCCTTGGCGGTGCTTAGCAAATTCTATAAGGTATAGCCTGGTTTACAAAGCCTTCGCTGGGCTCACCAAGGTTTCGCAAGGTGACTAGGCCTTCGCATGGCTCAGCATGGCTTAGCAAAGGCTCAGCAGGGCTAAAGGCTTCGCAAGGATTAACACGGCTTGGCAAGTCTTGCCGAGGCTGGACACGGGCCAGCACGGCTTAGCATGGCTCCCAGCTCCCACCTGGGCTTAGCAAGGCCTACCAAGTTCAGCAGGGCTCAGCAAAACTTACCAGGGCATGGCAACGCTTACCAGAGTTTGCCAGGGCTCGGCAAGGCGTACCGCGACTTACCCGGGCTCAGCAGGGATCACCAGGGCCGAACAGTGTTTTGCAGGCTCAGTAATGTTTCCCGCACAGTTTACACCATCTGAACATGATTTACCAGGTGTTTGCAAGGCTTGGCAGGGCGTCACGAAACACAGCAAGGCTGAAGGCTTCGCAAGAATTAGCACGGCTTAGCAAAGCTTGCCAATGCGTACACTGCCCACCAGGCTTGCCAAGCTTAGCTGGGCTTTGCAATGTTTAGCTGGGCTTGGCACCGTCTACCAGGGCACAGCAAAGCTAACCAGGGCTCAGCAGGGCGCACCAGTATTTGGACGAGCTTGCCAGGGCTTACCAGTGCCTGGCAGGGATCAGTTGGGTTGAGCAGGGCTCACCAGGCCCCAGCAAGGCTTACAACGTCTTAGCAAGGTTCCGCCGGGCTCAGCGAAGCTCAGCAGGGCTTCAGGTTCCGTGGGGCTTTGCAGGGCTTCGTAAATCTTGCAGAGATTGATGAAGGCTTGACATCGTGGTCCGTCATGGGCCGCGCGTGCTACCTGCACAAGCCAACCTGACGCCAAGCTTTGTACTCGACCTTCTGGAGTTGCCGCTCGCGAGAGAAGGGGGGCGTACTAGAACTGACCTGGGCTCAGCAGGGCGTGCCAGGATTTTACAGGGCTCTGCAGAGCTTGCCATGACTTAGCAGTGCTTAACAGACTCAATCAGGTACTCCAGGGCTTAACAAGGCATTACACGCCTTACCACAGCTCAGCTGGGCTTACATCGTCTTGGCTGGACTGACCAGGGCTCAGAGAAGCTTAGCAGGGCTTCAGGCTTCGCAAGGCATAGCGGGGCTTAGCAACATATGCCAAAGCTAAGCAAGACCCAGCAA